CTTATAATACATTGTAATATATTATGGTTTTTCTAAGCGTAATGTTCGCGCGAAAACTCTGCAAGGCGTCGCCGGACGTGAAAATTATGCCTGCTACATACGTAACGATTTATCGTGGCGATTTCAGACTGTGCAGATAAATCGAACGTTCCTAGTGCCTCCACACGCCTCCGATATCGACGTCGATCGGGCAGTTCTCCGCAGAAGCTCGCGCAAGATACATGTTAACAATGGAAGATTATGACGCACTTGCTATATTAGGCCTGGTTGTGTTTAATGAAAAAAAAGAAGCGGAGTCTATGGTGTAAAGAGTGGCTTATGAAAAGGAAGCAATTTTTTCATCATCATCATTACAGTCCTTCACAAATCCACTGCTGAACATAGGCCTCCCCCAAGTAATGCCACAAAGCACGGTCCTGAGCCAACTGCATCCATCGACTTCCTGCATGTCTTACCAGGTCGTCACTCCATCTAGTGGGGGTCACCCTACACTACGCCTACCGATACGAGGCTGCCACTCGAGAACCTTTCTTCCCCATCGGTTATCGGTTCTTCGAGCTATATGGCCGGCCCATTGCCACTTCAGCTTACTAATCCGTTGGAATATGTCGGTCACTCTGGTTTTACTACGGATATCCTCATTTCTGAGTCTATCACGCAGAGAAACTCCGAGCATAGCCCTCCATAGCTCGCTGAGCGACCTTGAGCGTCCTCATACGGCCAGCAATGAAGGACCACGTCTCTGATCCGTAAGTCATCACTAGCAACACGCACTGGTTATACACTTTAGTTTTCAGAGATTGAGGTATACCTGACGAGAAGATGTGTCGTAATTTCCCGAACGCTGCCCAGCGGAGTTGAATCCGTCGATTGACCTCTCGGTCGAAGTTGGACTTACCTAGTCGGACTATTTGTCCCAGGTAAACGTACTCGTCAACAACTTCGAGCATAGTGCTCCCAACAACTACCGGCATAGGTGTGACATGGACATTAAACATGATCTTTGTTTTGTCTATGTTCATCTTAAGACCTATCCGTTGGGAGACACCATTGATGTCATTGAGCATAGTGCTAAGGTCCTCCAGCGATTCTGCCATAAGGATTATATCGTCGGCAAATCGAAGGTGAGTGATGTACTCGCCATTGATGCTAATACCGTATCCTTTCCAGTCCAGTGGCTTGAAAACGTCTTCCAACGCAGCGATGAAGAGTTTCGGGGATATAACATCACCCTGTCTTACACCTCTGCAGTTGGATAGGTTTCGAACTCTGGTTCTGTACTCGGATAGCCATCGTAGCCCTACTGTACAGACACTTCAGCACTTCTATATACCATCAGTCAACTTGGCACCGCTGAAGGGACTGTAGCACCGCCCAAATTTCGACGGAATCAAAGGCTTTCTCATAGTCCACATATGCCAGGCAAAGTGGCAGATTGTACTCTTCGGTCTTCTGTACAATCTGCCGCAGGGTATGTATGTCGTCTATGGTACTGAAGCCTTTTCAGAAACCAGCTTGTTCGGGAGGTTGGAAGTCGTCGAGTCTGCGTGCGAGACGATTCGTAATGACTCTCGAAAACAGCACGTAGACGCGGCTCAGAAGGGAAATCGGTCTGTAGTTCTTCAAGAGAGCGTTGTCGCCTTTCTTAAAGAACAAGACCACCGCGCTTCTGCTTCACGCCTCCGGAGTAGTGCCACCATGGAGGATGGAATTGAAGAGCTTCTGAAGGACTTCAATTACCGGTGTTCCATCCGCTTTCAGAAGCTCCGCTGTAATTCCATCCTCGCCCGGAGCCTTGCCGTTTTTAAGGCGCTGGAGAGCCATTCTAATCTCGCTCAGACTGACGTCCGGGATATCATCGGAATAGTGTCGGCTAAGACTTGCTCTTGGATCGTTACTCACACTTGCATGTGGCTCCAACGATGATGTGTACAGCTGCCCATAGAACCACTCAATCTCACTCAGAATCTCGGGTGTCCCGGAAACGATGCTGCCACACTCAGTCTTCAGCTTTAACAGTTGGCTCTTTCTGGCAGACAGATCTCTGGTAAAGACTTTGCAGCCCTGGTTCCGCCCGATCGCTTCTTTAATACGAGCAGTATTAAAGTTGCGTAAGTCTCGCCGCATGCATTTGGAGATCTGTCTGTTCAGTTGCCTGTATGCTGTCAAATCTGTTGACGATTGCAGCCTCATCTCCCATCTAACAGCCATGAGATTAAGAGTGTGATCGGAGAGTTTTTGTGTTCTTCTGCGGCGGATCTTGCAGAACTTAGCTCCGACCGCATGGTCAGTTTCCACGAGCTTGTCATTCATATCGTCCACTGCCATTGCAATCTTCTAGGCACTGAAAGCGGCTACATAACTCGAGCTGAAAGGTTTCGGGATTCTGGATTAGAACACGAGGGGGACGGAGCGTTGATTTCAGTAGACGAGACCTCTCCAACTTAACGTTTAGGTTCAGTGTGCTTCTCACCATTCCGTGATCGCTGCTAGTTTTCACCCTTGCTATCACTGATACATCACTGAACAGTTGGCGTCTGGTCGTCATAATGAAGTCAATGTCATTTTTTGTCGAACCGTCGCGTCGGGGCTCGACCAGGTCCACTTCCTGTGGGGCCGCTTCTGGAAGAAAGAGTTCATCATAAAGAGTCCCTCTTTCTCCATAAAGTCGGCCAGCTGATGGCCCCTTCGGTTCCGTTGCCCTACTCCAAATTTCCCTACCTTCAGCTCACCGCTTTCTCTTCTGCCTAGTTTTGCGTTGAAGTCTCTCATCAACACCGTGTAGTGGGTTTTGGAGGAATGCATGGCTCTGGAAATATCCTCATACATTTCCTCCACCAACTTGTTATGTGAGTTGAAATTCGCTCCGCAAGATTGGCATAACTATTTAAGGATGAATGAAGAGGCATATTTAAATCTGCTGGCTTTAGTTTTTCCACTAATAAAGAAACAAGACACTGTAATGAGAGAAGCTATAAGTCCTCATAAAAGATTAACTGCTACACTGCGATTTCTAGCTACAGGACGTTCGTAGCAATGTATGAAGTTTTCTACAATAATATAACCGCAAGCTCTTAGCCAAATAATCCCTGAAACCTGTGATGCTCTGTACGAGGTTCTACGGAAAGGTAAGGAATGAAAAATACTGTATTAATCAACAAATTATTTATTAATTAAACTTTTAGGTCGTATTGAAGAACATTTTATGAATAAGTTACTTTTTTATTCACCATTAAAATTACGTAAATAGGAAGTATGTAATTGTATTATCAGATTGTGTATGGTCTGGCTCTACTGGTGATGTAAATTCCATTGATGATTGAGTGTGTGGTTGAGTGTAAATGATTTGAGTGTGTGGTTGAGTGAAAAGATTTTGAGTGTGTGGCTGAGTGTAAATGACTTGAGTGTGTGACTGAGTGTGTGACTTAGTGGAAAGGTTTTGAATTTGTGGCTGAGTGGAAAGGTTTTGTATGTGTGGCTGAGAGTAAAAGTTTTGAATGTGTGGCTGTGTGGTGAAACTAGTATTTGCAAAGTCATCATATTTTCTTACAGTGTGTGATATAGTTAAGCAACCCATTTCAGCCAAGAACAGAGTTTCATTAATTATTTTTTCTGCTATAATTCTCTGTACTTTTGGTAACTCTTGTAGTTTCATCCCAACATTTTTGCCAAAAACCTCAAAACGATTATTGGGTTCTTTAGGCCTTTTAAAATGATCATTTACGGACTTAAGTACGTCTTCAGTTAATGTATTTTGTTTGGTCTTGGCCGAACACGACCCGAGATTGATGTAGCTCGTTCGCTGTCAGAACAGTTTGCCGGGGTCGGTGTGTCTGATTCGTTGTCGGAATAGGCCAGTGTTGGTGTGTCTCGATCGCTGTCTGGACAATCGTAGCTCGTTGAGGCGATGCCGGTGGTTGACTGCGTCTGTAAAATAGAAGAACCATTATATTCCTGAAATTACTATACTAATCATGTACTCATTTTGTTACAGTTTCCAAAAATAGAAGAATAGTGGAGAATAATAGCGAGAGAATTTGAGCAGAAGTGGAACTTTCCTCACTGTTTGGGTGCTATTGATGGCAAGCACGTTGAAATCGTGCCCCCAAGTAACAGAGGCTCGTTTTATTATAACTATAAACATAGACACAGTATGGTATTACTAGCAATCGTTGATGCAAAATAGAGATTCCTGTTAGTTGAATTTGGGACAAATGGAAGGGTTTCCAATGGCGGAGTATTGTTGAATACAAAATTTTATGAAAAACTTGAAAAAAGGCGTTAAATAATCCTACAGAAGAAAGGTTACATAATAGTCCACGAATACTGCCATATGTATTTGTAGCTGATGACGCGTTTCCTCTAAGAAAGGACATGATGAAGCCATTTCGGCAAAATGACTTAGATAGTAGAATTAAGAAGATATATAATTATCGGACATCGCGAGCACGCCGTATAGTCGAAAACGCTTTTGGTACACTAGCGGCGAGGTTCAGAATTTACAAAACACAAATAAATATGTCGCCTGAAACTATTTGGTAAGTCTTAAGAGCAACCTGTGCTTTGCATAATTATTTGATGTCATCATCGCTTAATTCATACGCTCCTTCAGAATGTTTCGATAGTGAACATTATGAGGAAGGTACGATAACGTCAGGATTCACAAAAAAGGACTCAACACTTGAACCATTACAAAGAACTACACAAGGCCGTACAATTCAAACAGCAAATCAGATAAGAAGTCAATTTATGACGTATTTTGTAACTGAAGGGAAAGTTCCTTGGCAAGACAATTTTGTTCATTAATGTCAAAATACAGGACTTGTATTCGAGTACCTAATATTATTAAGCAATAAATATTTTTTCGGAAATAAAAACTTACCTCATTTTCGTCATCATCTATATTCGACGTAGATGGTCTCGGTACTTCTTAATCGTATAAAAACTCAATAACTCAAAGTACCATAAAAGAGGTTTATAAATCCCTCAGTCCGTCGTTCTCAATCGTCAGTCCCTGCTCCAGATTTACACGATTTTTTTATTTTATTGAGCTCTTTTTTATATGTAGTTCGAAGATTATTAATCTTCTTAACCACTGTAACCCTGGTGGCATTTGGATCTATTGGTTTGTATTTTACGATTAGCCTGTCGTAGGCGGCATTTTTTTTGTTGCGGTCGTGGTAATCCTTACATGTAGTCTTCCGAAGGCAAGTTTCGTTTCTGTAGCTTTCTATAAAATCTTGAAGTAGTTCGCGGTGTCCAACTCGTTCGTCTTCCGACATGTTTCTGTGAAAACGATGTGCACGTGCGAACACTAGCAAGCTCCGTGAAGTATAATCTATGGTGAAGTACTGCCGAACTGAGCGATCGCCGTCCACACGCAACGATAAAACTGTGCAAATGTAATAGACAACGATTTATCTGATAGAAATTGCAACGGCCACAGACGAACGATTATCGACAACAATTTTTCATACACTCGATCGATAAAACTGCGCACTGGTCTGCACAGATTTATCGCTACGATTAATCTAGTATGTGGCATTAAATTGTTTAGACTTTACGGCGCCTCTACACGTTGGCCAACACAGTGGCGAATGTAGTGGCCAATAGCATTGGCCAACGTGTAGACGGGGTGTTTGGGCTTCATTGGTATGTATTGGAACGTTGGCCCGCAAGTTGGCGCGAGATCCGTGTGGTGTCGGTTTTTTACAAAAGATCAAAGGATTGTTGGCAGAGTTTGGTCGCCGCGTCCACACGTTGGCCGCGAGTTTTGTTTGCTACAAGCTCCCAGATTGATTACACGCATCGGATTAAAATTTTATATACACTCTTTGTAGGGTGGATGACCCAATTACTAGCCTTTTAGTGCAATTTCCACTTTAAATATTCCTACTACTTTAATTAGCGCGATTTAATTATTTTTAAACATTTGTTTTAATCGATAAGCCATTTATAAAAAAAATAATGAACATTTATTTACAATCAGATTATTACGAGAACAATTTTAAAATGAAAAAAAATGAAGCACGTCGTTTATACGTGGTAGAACCATGCAGTTATATTAGAAGTATAGTTGTAGCACGAATGGGTCGGTTCGACGGGGAAGGACCACGCTCTCACAGAATATCAATGTAAAATAGTAGCTTAATGATGCTGTGTTTCGTATAGTGAGTGTAGAGAACCAGAGACACTTTTTAAAGGAAACGAGGCATTTCATTTTAGTCCTCACGAGTGACAACGCATCTGCATTTTGATTCGTAATCGAGGATAGATGTAGATGTCTATGGGCCACAGCAACCATTTACCATCAGGTGAACTGTGTGCTCGTTTGTCACCCTATCCTATATAAAAAGCGTCGATTTCTTATAATTTAATCGTGCAAGTTTTCGAATCATCATCATCATTACAGCTCTTCACAAGTCCACTAATGAACATCCTCCTCCAAAGAATGCCGCAAAGCATACTCCTGAGCCACTTTGCTTGACATGAGTTTTTCATTTATGTTCTAAGTTATAATTAGTACCTATTATTAAGTCAGTGTTAATTATATTTATTGCTATTGTTTTTGTCTTTCTCAAAAAATAATTAAATTACCAAATAAAGTATAAGGTGTTTTTATATACATCAAATGTCTGATAGAAATACAAGTACATATTTTGCTAAACTTTAAAAACAAAACCCAATTTTAAAACATAGACTAATCGATTATAACTCTTTTAACTTTAAAATAAGTTAAGTTCTAATTAATGGTATTTATTCCAGTTTCTGATGCATGTAAAGAATAAATAAAGCTAATCGTATAATCGTATATCTATTTACAGCCCCATTAATAACCACTATTCTTTTATAATTCTTTTATAAAAACGTTAACCCCACACTTGGATTTTCTTTCGTATCGCGGAGGCAGCTTACAAACATAAATTGCACAAGGACACACATCCAGACCCGAAACAATTATTTGTAGGACGTACAAATACTTGTTCCGTGCGGGATCAAACCCGCGGCGCACGACGCAGCCACTCATTGCTGAGCCACTGCGCCACGGAGCGTGTTATAAATAAATTCGTCCGCACATTGGCCCGAACCGAAGTAAACTGAACGACCTTCCAACTTGTGGACGCCGTCACCAACTCTCATCCATTATGTTCGCCACTCCATTCGCCACTGTGTTGGCCAACGTGTAGAGGCGACATTAGATCTTTCTGCCAAGCGTTTTACACGTGTCAACTCTGGGTAGACTATACCAAGAAAACACATGATAGTATACGGGTAACTTATAATTATATTTTTAGACTTCTAATGGGGTTTTACTCGCTATTGTAGCGCCTCTGAAATGTACGTGAAAACCTGGGTGGACTCTTTTAATCATTGATTTATATATTACATTCTTGTATTGCTTAAGGTAACTGTTATACCGTATAATGTCTTCCTATTCTAATACCTCTTCCTATGGAACAAATAGTGGTTATTTATAAGATGTCTGTGAGTAGAGAAATTCTTCAAATATCAATAGATGGCGCTTTAACAAAACGTACAATTAAGTAATATATTATTATATAGGACAGTTACTATACATTTTGCTCCATTCTAATTCAAAAAAAAAAAAAAAAACAATAAAAAAAGGTTGCATTGTCGTGACTATAATTAAGCAAGCAACAAATTATGAATACGTTATATCAGAAAACTTTAATCCAATACCTATTATAAAATATACCGGTTACCGAGATGTTTCATCTTCATTTTAACTGTTAGATAAATAAGACAGACAAGAAGATAAATTGATTCATTCCTATTCATACAATATTATTCAGTCTGGAGGACATTATAATTATTAATACTGCGAAAGAAAACCCTGTCACTTCACGAATTTAAACCACCATGTATATTGTATACCAATACAATGAGAGTACATAACGGTTCTCATATAGGTTTCAGTTTCAGTCCTGTTACTGTACTTTTATAAATATTTACGTCATTACATATTACCTTCAATTCGCCTTTTTTCAATATATTTTATCATAGTCAAACATGAAACAGAATTTGTTTCTGCAATTTCTTTATAAAAGCACCATCTATACTTTTTATGGAAACTTTTTCGTACCATAAACTTGGTTCATACAATTTGGTTACTTAAACTACCGACAGAGGTCGCTGTGTAACGTCACGAAAATTTCCAATCGCGATGTTGAGTTTATTTCGGTTTGAATCACGTCAGCAGCAAGATGTTATGAAATCATACTTACCTGGCGTAGGGGATAGCGGTGGGTTGTAGCGACTTTTTTGAGTAACGAAACGAAACTATCTATCAAATATCAATAGCGGCTTTTGAAACACTCTATTTTAATAGAGGGTTTTGAAACACTCTATTTTAATAGAGGGTTTTGAAACACTCTATTTTTATAGCGGCTTCAATAGAGTGTTTCACGACGTGTTTAATTGATAAACGTTGCGAATGAAACGATGTCCGTTTCACGAGAAAACTTGTTTGGTACCGTGTCGTATAGAATTAGACATGGTGTTAATGGTTAAATTTATTTATTTGTTAAATCATTTCCCACGGTTTGATAAAAATATCACTTGAAACGATTTAACGGCAAACGATTTATTTATTAATTATGATTATGATAAATTCACCCACAAGTTCAGCATAAAATACTGAATATAAGTTTGATTTTATAGCAAATAATTATCACATAAAGTTGTATATTTTTGATAACGATCACATAACGTTTAAGTATTCTTTTTACACTTAGTAACTTACACTAATTACTGTACAATTATTATTATTAACACTAATATATGCAATTGTATTATTTCTTATTTTACTAAAAATATTATTATTATTGCACAAAAAGAAAACAAAAATATTAACAAACGCGCCTAAAAAGTAAAAACAAAGCGTGTCATTAAACTTAAACACAAGACTAATTTAAACCGGGCCAAGGCCACTTAAATTATGGAATTTGAACTATTTTTTGTTAAAAACATGCACACTTACTTTCTCATTTCTAATATCGCATCTATACGAAGGGAATAGAGTCATAGGTCAAATGCAAAAGCACCGGCGCTCACTCGACATTCGACGACCGGTGGTACTTCTACCACAGCGTAAAGAGTCGGTTTCTTTACTCATGTGCTTCTACTTCAACAGCCGAAGCCGTCGCCGATGCGTCGCGAAAATAGCCGAATAAACGTTTTGTTACTGATCGCTCGTTCGTGATTCGTGAAACGTGAATCGTGTTACTGAGTAAAACATCTAGTGTAATAGATAGTTTCGTTGCACTGCAATAACCCGCTACCCGCTATTGTGTGAATAGATAGTTTCAGTAACTAGTTACGTTTTGTAACGACCACTCCTAGTAGGGGATACCGTGATCAGGAAGGCGGTTCCCCCAGGGCGAGGCCTTTCCATTGCACTGCGGTTAGGTTGACCCCTGCGATTATCCCTAATGTGGATAACTCGGACGCGTAATTTTTGGTAGTGGGGACTGCGTACGCGCCGTCCCCTTTTATTGGACAAGGACATGAACATAATTATGCAAACTGGAAGTGGAACCAACCCACAAAAAGGGACTTTAGAGATAATTAGGTTTTTGTTTCTAGTGTGTAGAAATAAATAGGTAAGTTATTTGAAACAAACAACTATACAATGTTAACGTTAGTTATTAATGACAATATAGGACAATTAAATTATTTGGATTTTAGTCAGATTTCTTATGTGTTTGATCAAAAAGCTGATGGTTCCTTAAGCAAAATTACTGTTTTGTGGGTTGGTTCTTTATTACAATATGTTAAGGTTTTTCAAGTAGGTAGATTGCTTTAAATTATTTTAAAATACTTAATGTTTTAATCACATTTTTATTGCTTTGAACATGCATACTATTTTATCACATTGAAATTGTGATTTCTTAAATTTACGCGAACACTACACATTGAATAAAACTATTAATACGGATTTTATCGCATTTAATTAAGTACTTTTACTTATTTTTCCGAAAATTAATATTATAAACCGAAGTATATATATAATATAAACAAATTATGTATAAATCTGTACAAGGATTTCTCACTTATGCTATAATATATTAAATAATATGAAGATTAAAAAAATCTTTAAAATAAAACGTGTTGACCACGAGCTATGAAGAGAGAATTATAATGGTATCCTGATCAGGATACTGCGATAAAGTTATTAAATTATTAGACTGTCATCGGCCCTTGATTCGAGTACTAATTTTCAAGGCGTACGTGAGGGTAATATGGTCACTTTCTTATAACT